TCCATTTAAGATCCTAGTGTTGAAATTTTGTGGCCTAGTGGTTTAGGCATCCAACTCTTTGTGAGTGAGTTTTGGATAAAATGATATAGAGGGTTTGGAGAAGGGCAAATTGTTCAGTGTAATGTAGTGCTGGTTTGCTGAAAATTCAGCAGGATCGATATTTTCCAGTTCTGACCCTAAAATACGATCTATAAAAAATGTGGCTTTATTAACAATTGCTAATACGTATAGTTCATTTTTCAAATTAAATTAACTAATTCTAATTACCTCACTCTGAAGTTTGAAGCTTATCTAATTCTGCCAAATGAATTAACAAATAGCATTCAGGTGATTTATTATTTCTGGCCCAAACATGTACGATGTTAATTTAAAAAGAATTTACCCTTACACTTATCCGATTCTAATTCTGCCAATTCTATCAAATGAATTAAATATAGCATTCAGCAAATTTGATATTTCCAATTCAAATATATACGAAGATCAATTTAAAAGAACTTACCCTGATCTGAATTTTCAAATTCATCAATTTCCATAAATTCTATCAGTTGACTTGGTGAAGAATTATCAATAGATTTAAGATTCACTTGCTCTAAACCAAAAAATGTATATAAAAAGGCAGCTTAGTATGTTCCGAGCTAGCTGATTCTTCAAATCATATTAAAAATAGAATCTACATACTTCGCTCCAAGGTTTCAACTTGTTCTGATTCATTTTTAAAATCATCTGATTCTAAAATAGCTATATTATTTCACATTCTAAAACTTGACTATAAAAAAATAGCACTACTAACCTTGAATAATTTCCTCAGCTTTAAAGGTATAATAAGTGAAACAAATAGTTATTCATGACTGTCAAAAAAAAAAAAAAAAAATCCTAATAGTCTGGTTCTTCGGCCCAAATTCTAGTCCGGATTAGTTCTTCACCGAAGCACCAGACAGTTGGTATTCCTGATTTGTCCATAATTCAGTAATTTCTACGTACTATGAACTTGTTCTATTTTTTGAAGTGTGTAACAAGTTATCACAGGCTTTGTGTTCCCACTGCAGTGTAAATAAAGACATATGTACGTACATATGTACAGTACGTTAGTATTCTTAATTTCTATGTACTACGAATGTGTAACAAAGTATTATAGGTTTGTATAATGTAAGTTAAGGGGTATATACAACTTTTTGCTACCGTAAATATTCTCTTATACTGTTTGTTATTGCTTGTGATTAGTAAAAGACTAACTTTTTTTTTGTTTACATTTCATTTTATATTAACTCTATTATTACATAATTTGCGCAACATTAGCATTTAAAACTCTTTTATTACTATTTTACATTCCGATATTAAATTCGTATGCTAGTTATATTACACAATGCATGGGATTATAGGTGCGATAACATCACATATGCAATATATAAATTATTATTATTATTTTTTTTTTTAATGTTAAAGGTGAGACCATGCTCTTATCTTTATTAAACTTAATGAAAACT